TCCTCACCAAGTGGTTGGAAAATCTCATCAATAGTTCGTTTGACCAACAATCCCATTGTGAAGTAACCATGACTAAACCAATCTGCCATCTCAGAGTTGGAAAATGGACCTGTTTGAAAAATGCCTCCATTAATGTTTGGGTAACTTGCACATACAGTACTGTTCAAAAGTAGGTAAACAGTCCCTCAAAACTAAATCCTCAATCCTTCACTTTCAAAAAAGCCTCAAGGATCAAAGCTTGAGTCGAGTTTAGATATGCATAATTTTAGTTTTGAAACCTTTAAACCCAGTTTTGAGATATTTATGTTTGATTTGAGACAAGGAAACAAAGGAATTTATGCACAAGAAATTTTTCACAAGACTCAAAAATTTGCTGCCTCTTGTCTAACTCACAGGATAAAAATCATTATAACCTGCTTCCTTGCTGATGAAGCAAAACTTTGCTCAAACTACTTGCAGTTCTGATTTTTTGAACAAAAAGCTCAAAATTATCTTATTTTACTATCTGCACCATCTGGTTCCTGACTGCCAAAACAGATAACTTACCTTGCACTTTGCCCTGTGGATCAGTGTAACTCCATTGCACCTCTTCTGTAGTTGTTGGTGAACTGCGATATTCCTGCTTCTGCTGTGTAGTAGGCTGTTCCCCTTCTTTTAAATCCTCCTGTTGAAAGATCAAAGGAAATGAAGTTTTTTTTTTCACATTATACATGTATGTCCTATTGTTGAGAGAAATAATATGGATGGTTAGGTTCTATAGTAAATTCAACTCCAATTTTTACTGGTGGGGAAACAGTCAGCATACATGAACCTGCAGCATGCTTGCAGTTAAAAACCCAAGTCCCACTGTGGCAAAAATGGTGTAGTTCTGAAGACTTGACACCATCAAGTAGGCAGTTTTTTTTGTTCTGTTGAGAAATTGCTAAATTGTATTTGATCACAAATTACCTGTGCAAACTTTGTAGCTAATGAAGCTTCATGGAAAACAGTTTTTGTAATGAGAATCTGAAAGTCTCTAATTTCTGGATAAATTAATCACATCCAGCAGAAATGCTATAATATCAAAATGCACCATGATTTCCAATACCAACCTCCTTTTTTTAGGAAGGGATGACATGCACTTAAAATCCACACAAAGTTGTTTCTACCATGAGCAGAAAGCAGCAGAAAGAGAAATACTACATGGATCTTATGAAATAGAGATTTAAGGCCACAAAATTGTTACCCTACCTCTTCATCATCATCTAATGAAGCCACAAGGTTTTCCGCAGCTTGTGCAAAATGGTCCATGTTAGGCTCGTCTTCTTTCAGACTGCCAGCAGCTTGTTCCAGCGTTGTTGAGGATGTGGTGATGTGAGCTTGTGGAGGTACATGGGCGAATGGTTTGTTAGGTGCATTGGACGGAGTAGAATTAGGTGTTCTTTGCTGTGAAGTGGAGGAGTGTGATGGAGATGGAGGTGGTGAAGTTGTAGTTGAGGGAGAAGGTTTGCATGTATCTGTTGTTTGATGTGTAGAAGGTGGTTTAGCGGCTGGTGGTTTTTGTTGTTCTAATGTTTCTGGTGGTTTTCCTTCACTGACAGGTCTTGTTCCTAAAACCCATGATAAATAGAGAGGTCAATCATAAACTACAAAGCATGGAGAGGCAACCAACCATTTTGAAAACACAAGAGTAGGGATAGGTTATGTTTCACACTATGCCAAGAGCATAACCCAACTCAAAATTTACATATGTCCTTTGGAAGCTTTCAATACAATTATAATTATTAAGAGGTAGATTACTTCTAGTAGCAATACACAGTTTACACCAGGTGACAGACCTGAGTCAGAGTGTTTTGTTTGGACTGCATCCTTGTCCTCATCATCCCAAACATCTGGTGGTTCTTCATCATCACTTTCAGACTATTTACAACAGAAGCATGTTGGCATTTAA